CAATTATTGCCTGGACATCCTGGAGGACTACCTCATCCAGAAGCGGTGAGAGCCCAAAAGGGTCCATCTTTTGGTCCCAAAACGGCTTCTGTCTGATTTTAACGGGACTATTCGTAGGTAATTAGAATAATTAGTCATATGTGAGCCCTGTAACTTAAACTGAATGAGCTCAGGTGAGGGTTTAGTTTAATGCTGGTGAGAAGAATAACAGAGGTGAGCTTAAAAACCATGTATCAGAGATTTAGTGGAGGGGTTTCACTGGTAAAGGCCATAGTTAATTAATTAATTAGTTAATTACTACTGCTACTCACTATTGTTTTTAGTGTGTAATATAATGTAATTAATGTATATATATATTTAATGTATATATAAATTAAATGTATATATTTAATGTAATTAACGTGTATATATATATATAATTAATGTAATAATATACTACTACTACTAATATTAATAATATACAAATAAATTACATAAATTATGTAATAAATTGCACAATACACAATTATTATGTTATTAAATTACAATAAATTACATCGAACAACTTTGAACAAACTGGGGAAGATAGACCTCCATGAAAGAGCCAAAAAAAAATACAATAAAATGTCTATAAAAGCATTATGAGAGATACATTAATCCTTAGATACAACAAAAAATTCAAATAAAATAAATAACAGCCATCTTTTAGTGAATGTTTTATTGAAGTCAGAGGGAGAAAATGATCCTTTCCCTGAGGTAAACGGGCCGTTGTCTCCCTGCAGATATACAAATATATTACATACATAATTCAATTACAATAAATGACATCTAACAACTTTGAACAAACTGGGGAAGATAAACCTCCATTAAAATCCCAAAAATAAATAAATAAAATGTCTATAAAAGCAGTATGAGAGATACATTAACCCTTTCATACAACAAAAGATTCAAATAAAATAAAATAAATAACCTTATTGCAGGGTTAGCCACCTTTTATTGAAGTTGGAGGAAGAAAATGATCCTTTCCCTGAGGTAAACGGGCTGAAACGGGCTGCTGTCTCCCTTTAGATAATTCAGATAAAATAAGATAAATAACAGCCACCTTTTAGTGAATGTTTTATTGAAGTTGGAGGAAGAAAATGATCCTTTCCCTGAGGTAAACGGGCCGTTGTCTCCCTTTAGATACCCGTATGAGCGCATTGACGGGCGTGTCCGTGGGAACCTGCGGCAGGCGGCCATCGACCGGTTCTCGCGCCCGGACTCGGACCGGTTCGTGTTCCTGCTCTGCACCCGGGCGGGGGGGCTGGGAATCAACCTCACAGCCGCGGATACCTGCATCATATTCGACTCCGACTGGAACCCCCAGAACGACCTGCAGGTGCCCACTCTCTCCGGGGGGTCTGGGGCTTTAGGGGGACCTGTATCAATCAATCAATAGATGTTCATTCATATAGCACAGGGTTTTTCAACCTTTTTTGAGCCAAGGTACATTTTTTTATTGTAAAAAATCACGAGGCACACCACCAACCAAAAATGTCAAACGAATCTGTAGCCGCCTATAGTAACACTATAGTTATTCTTATCTTAAGTGTCTTGAATAGGAATCAAAATGTATTTTTATCATATTTTATATTTCTCCTTTCAAATGGCACTTAACATGTCCACTTTGATATATACAATTATATACAAAATCTAGTCATAAGGAATTATTACATGATTACTCCACCAGTCCCTAGAACAGCACAGACACTCAGAAATGGCATATTATTTGCAGATAATTAATTCCTTATCAAAAAATCCTGATATTTACGGACAAGCTTTAGCAGATCGTCCCCCAAGTCACTCTCGTTAAAAACATAAAAGACCTCTATAGACGTCTTTGGCAGCGAATGAGTTAATTAAATATAATTATTAATAAATAAATAAATAGATTCCACTCACAGCTATGATGTCCAGAGTGTTGTCACAGACTTTCCTGATCTCCGTGTTCTTGTCGTGCATCAGATCGATCAGGTAGGCCGGAGCCTCTGCTCTAAAGACTGAGGAAAATCAGAAATAATTTGGATAACCTGTGGACTAAAGGAGGGATTAGAGACATCCCCATCCAGTTTAATACTCCTGGTTATCTGTCAGGCTTTTTAAATGAGCTACTAAGTCATTCATCAACGTAAAAGAAACAAATATTTTTCCTTTCGGTTGGATTTGAATTGACGTCTATAGACGTCTTTGGCAGCGAATGAGTTAACTGCTGGAAAGACAAAAGGATGGTTCTCAGGCTGTGGTGGTTTCTTTCTTTTCTTTAGGCCCAGGCCCGGTGCCACCGGATTGGCCAGTCCAAGTCGGTGAAAATCTACCGGCTCATCACGCGGAACAGCTACGAGAGGGAGATGTTCGACAAGGCCAGCCTCAAGCTGGGGCTGGACAAGGCCGTGCTGCAGAGCATGAGCGGGAGGGAGAACGCCAACAGCGGGGTGAGAAGGGGGGGGGGAGGATGGATGGAGGGGGGAGGGAAGAAAGAAAGAAAGGTAGGAGGCAAGGAAGGGAGGAAAGATGGTAAATATCTTGGTACGGGCTGTACTGGAAGTCAATTTCTCCCTGGAGATCAATAAAGTATATTCAATTCAATTCAAAAAGTAGAGAAAGAGGGAAAGAACTAAGAAAGACTAGAAGAAGAACGACAGAGAGAAGGTTCTCCCACGGAGGAAGGAGGGAGGGAGGGAGGGGGGAAAGGGAGGAATGAAGGAGGGAGGAAGGAGGGAGGGAAGGATGGAAATAAGTAGAGAAAGTACTAGTAGAGAAAGTAAGGGAAGGAGGAGGGATGGAGGAAGGAAGGGAAAAGGAAGGAAGGAGGGAGGAAGGAATGGAGGAAAGGAAGGCAGCGAGGAGGGGGGGAGAAGGAAGGAAGGAGGGAGGGAGCGAAGGAGTGAGGAAGGGAGGAAAGGAAGGAAGCGAGGAGGAAGGGAGGGAGGAAAGGAAGGATGGAGGGAGGAAGGAAGGTAGGAAAGAGGAAGGGAAGAAGCGAGGAAAGGAAGGAGGAGGGAAGGAAGAAGAAATAAGGAAGGGAGGGAAGGAGGGAGGGAGCAAGGGAAGGCGGGAAGGAAGGATGGATGCAGGGAGGATGGAAAAAAGTAGAGACAGAAATAACTAAGAAAGACTAGAAGAAGACAGACAGACAGAAGGTCCTCTGACGGCTCTGTTCCAGCCGAGTTCCCAGCTCTGACCTCTGACCCCTGACCCCTGACCCCTGACCTCTGACCCCTGACCCCTGACCTCCTCTCCAGGTGCAGCAGCTGTCCAAGAAGGAGATCGAGGACCTCCTGAGGAAAGGAGCCTACGGCGCCCTGATGGACGAGGAGGACGAGGGCTCAAAGTTCTGCGAGGAAGACATCGACCAGATCCTGCAGAGGAGAACCCACACCATCACCATCGAGTCCGAGGGGAAGGGCTCCACCTTCGCCAAGGTGCTGTCCAGAGTCCAGATTTCCCACGCCGCGCGCCCCGGTAGGGTCTCCCTAACCCCGCCAACTCTGTCTCCAGGCCAGCTTCGTCGCCACGGGCAACCGGACCGACATCTCCCTGGAGGACCCGGACTTCTGGGCCAAGTGGGCCAAGAAGGCCGAGCTGGACATGGACGCCATCAACGGACGGGTACGGAAAACTCCCACGCTGGCCTGGCCCCTGAATGCAGCACGGCCCCCGAACATCCACCATTTTTACACACCCCAACACCCCCATTATTAGCATGGCTACCGCACACACACTTTCAGAGTCTCCCCCAAGAAAAGGGGAGCTTCTTGTGGCCATTAATGAGTCGTATTATCAGAAGATAGGAGGAGGAAGGAGAGAAAAAGAGGGAAGAGGAAGAGGGAGATTAATATTGACAGTTGGGAATCTCCTCTCTTCCTTAATTACCCGTGTTGCTCTCCTCGTGTGTGTGCGTGTGTTTGAGTGTGTGCGTGCGTGTGTGTGTGTGTGTGTGTGTGTGTGTGTGTGTTTAAGCTGCTTAGCTCCTCTTAACAGAGCACAGATGCCTGGAGGCTACAGAGATATCACACGCACAAAAACACACACACACACTCTCACACACA